CAGAGCTGCATAACAGAAATTGAAAAATTTTAAATTTTTATGAAAACTTCTTCGTATTTCTTAAATTTTCCCGATTTCTGTATGAAATTAAAAAAATTTATTCCTATAGTTTCTGCAGTTCAATGAGCTATCTTTTTATAAAAATAAACAAAAGTTTGGTATGGAAAATATAAGTAAATAAATTCGTCGAAACGTTAGGGTATCCGTATTTTTGACGCTGACTACTCGATTCAACTAACATGCATACATATATTGTTTTGAATGCGAGTAAAAGTGAATATTAGGTATTAAAGCTATAATCTTTTTCATCACTGCACCTGCTCAAACAAATATTTCATTCTCACTGCTGTTTATTCTAGAGTTGGCATATAAAAGTGAACGTCTAATTCGGAAAAAGCGAATTTCATCACAATGAAGCTAATTGTCTTCCTAATAACGTTTCTTGCTTCTAACTTGCTTTGTGGCGCACAATACGAAGGCGGAGGCGGCGGCGGCGGCGGTGGTGGTGGGCCTGGCGGTTATGGATATGGTGGCTATGGCCCGAATGGGCCCTATGGCGGAGCCGGTGGTAATGGTGGTTACGGTTACTATGGACCCGGTGGTAGCGGTAGCGGCAGCAGCGGTAATGGATATGGATATAGTGGTCCTTTCGGTGGTGGGGGTGGATATTAAAAATAAAATGTATGGCATAGTTTGATGCAACGTAGACGTTTTTATATCATTTGCATTAAATTAGTCCTTACGTCTGTAAATAAGACCATCGGCCAACTTTAAAGAAGTGAAATGAAGTTCACGGAATTCGCTTGTGCATTTTTATAGATTCTGGAAAGATGTAAACTTTAATCCAACGATACTTGTTTTGTTTTCTAGTACTAGCAATGAATATTTGCAAAAGAAAAAAACTGATTTCGAGTTTCTCATCCAACTTACATATTTTTCTCATGTAAGAATAACTTTGAGAGGCTAGAAATTAGGCAACACGATATACGAAAACTCTTGCCGCGGAGGGTTCAATCTCGCTCCCAAAACATTGTACTGCCTCTTCCGCCAGTATATCGACAACCAATGCTGCCTCGTCGGAGACTGTTTTGGACGCGCAGCATATTCGAAGTGCACATAATCTCTACGTTGACCTCACACCGCTGAAGTACGAAGAGTGTTGGGATGCGTTGTGTCAAATAGGCGCCCCGTATAGCAATTGGCTCTTTACCATGCTTGCGAGCAGTTGCCGTCGACGCTGCTTTGGCCCGCGCGTGTTTAGCATTATCCGCGATAAAGCTGCCACTGTCGTAGAGGATTTTTTTTTATTGGCAGAATCCGGGTGGATTTTGAACGAATCCGGGTGGATTTTGAACGAATCCCAAGGTACATACTTAACATGGGAAAGAGTAGTGACGCTATGTTTGCGAACTTGTATGGTAACCTCTTCTAACTTTTCCATGCTAAAGCTGAGTACCGCCTCCGTTTTCTGCTCTGAAAGCTTAAGGTAATTTTTTGTGTAGCTACGATTGTATAGCTTCTATGGCTTTATTGCCTTTATCTAGGGCTGCCAGACGTCCCGGTTTTCCCGCACATGTCCCGGTTTTAGACTATTTGTCCCGGCATCCCGGTCCAACCTTAAAATGTCCCGGTTTTCGATTTGATTGCACAAACTTGAATAAAAGTTAAAAAATTACTACACTAAGAGAAAAAACGCGTTGTAACATTCAGACAAATTTTACGAATTCACTGAGGGAAATAACGCATAGTTTACATGAATATTTTTTATTTGATTATCGTTTTAAAATGTTCGTATTTAAAAATAATGCTTTTATACCACGCATTCGTGGTGTTAATTCAAACCCAACATTTAAATGCACATTTCTATGTCTGGCTGCAGCTGAGTGCGTGAAGATGCTTTCTACAATTTGCTCATTTCCAGAGCGTCAGGGTTCAAAACCCATTACAGGCAGCATGGAATTTAAATATTTTTTTAAATTTATTATGACAAAGCAATCGGTAAGTGCAAAGCGCTGATTAATTAATATGTACCTAAATACGTTCCAAATGTCGTGCACAGAGTTTTACAATGATATTAAGGAAAAGACAGAAGTTTAGAAACAAGTTCACAGCAACGAAAAATATGATTGACATTTTAATGTTATCTTGTACTTAATTTTTTTTTCTTTCATGAAACCTAGAGTACTTAACAGTGCCGTACAAAATTATTGGCTCGGAGGCTCTTTCATCAGATCTCAATTTCTAATCAGATCCTTTAGAGAACTTTTGAAAATGTAGCTTTTGAGCCAATTAATAAAGTGCAAGTCTGAAGTTGCTAGAAAATTTCGTTGATTTTTAGCATTTTTTTTGCTGAGAGTGTCTTCCATATAAAAAGAATTGTCGAACATGGTTTGTATGGAAGAAACTCTCAGTAAAACCAATATCAAAAATCAACTAAAATTTAATGGGCTGCAAAACTTCATTTACAAAATTTTTATAAAAATCTGTTTAGAAAGTTGCAATTTGTATGCAAATTTATTGAATTTTCCCGAGTTTAGCACAAAGTTTAGAAATTTTATTTGTACGTTTTTTGATGTATTTAGTATAAAATATATTTTTATAAAGAATAAAAAAGGTGCATGCATTGTGAAAAATTCTGTGTGCTTTAGTTGTGATAAGTTGCTTTGTTTTGTTGGCGTACGTTGTAATGATCTCATGATCTAATTTTTTTATGTTTTTGTTTTTGGCTGTCAAAATAAAATTTTGCTACATCCTTTCGCACGTAAGTTTTGTTGAAACGAAAGGGAAGGGAGCGACAAAAGCACTTCATATTATATCATAAGTTTGTAATAAATCAAAATTTATAATTAAAATCGCTGCAGAAAACACATAAAATCGCTAAAATATCACTACGAAGAGGTAGAAGACGATGTAAACAGAACCAAAAAACATCAAAAACGCTACGAAAACTTTTTTTCTGAAAATCGATTACAAATACAACGATGTCGGATTGCGTGATCTGTAGTCGTTGGTTCATATGGCAGCCCTACCATTATCGCAAATTTCTACTACTTACTACTGCGATGTCATCCGCAAAACCAATTACTTCGGTCGCCTTGGGTACTTTGAGGCGAATAACTCCGTCGTACATAATGTTCCAAAGCAAAGGACCAAGCACAGAGCCTTGGATAGATTAGCAGAGTTTCGCCTTCGTATTTGTGAGTCGGCTTTGAGACGGCTTTGCAAAATCTGGTTGTCAGAATTAGCAATGCGAATTCGCCTGGGCATGTTTGTAGACATTGAGGGTGTTTTTGACAATGCCACCTACGGTAGCATGTGCAATTCTGCTTTACGGTGTAGAGTACATTCTTTAATGGTAAATTGGATTCGTTCGAAGGAGGGCAATATGTTACGTGCAGAGTTAACAAGGGCTGCAATCAGGATGGCGTGCTGATAAAACTTTACTTAAAGAAAATATGCAAAGCATATACAAAAAATGCAAAAAATAGGCAAAACATATTAGGACCAAATTAACTCACTTCCTTCTATAATGAGTTTCTACCCAGGTGTGGACTTTCTGTGATGTTAAACAAAAATATGCACTTGCATAAATATCCGAGCTCTAGTTATGACTTGAAATATTTCCCCATATTAAGTAAGTTGTATTCAGTTGAATTATGGAACGTATTTTTATCCATGTAAATTCAGATTTGTTGTTGTACAAACATGTTTGATCTGGTTCGCAAAAGGTGACTGTGAGCTCCAATCCAATGAAGTTTCTCGTTTTCCTGTCATCTTGAATAACGCAATTATGGCTTCTTGCTACAGACCACTTATCTATTGGTGCCAGAAGTCCACTGCGTTAAGTTTGCTGCCTTTACGCTTAATGGTGATTATCACCTTTCTGGTTGAAAAACGTCTTTCTGAAGTAGCGTTACTAGCTGGAAGTATGGCTAGAATACCGAGAAATGGCTAGATTTACCAAGAACTTCAGCTGCTGATTTCGGGAATGGCTTCATCGACATGTTATTGACGTAATGGCATAGAGCCAAGTTTTGTGGAGTAAATTTCAAACATATGGCTGAATTAACCTCAAAAAATCTTTTTTACTACCAAATAGTCTTGCCTTGAGATAGGTCTACAAATGCCGTGATTTGGCAAGGCGGCTACATTGATACCAATACTGGACAAACGCCTTCGACTTGTTGATGTACTTTGTAGCGCTCAAGTGAGACATATTGGGTGTTTTTGGATGGGAGCAAAGAAAAACTGGCTAAGAACTTTTCGCGTTAAAGGAACTCGTATCTAAAATATAGTTTTTCGTAGACACCGTGTAACTGATTGATATTAGAATTATATTTCACATATGGCAATGAAATCTAGTGTTTTAAAATTAAGGTTTAAGGTACTATATTTATTTATTTATTTAAAACTTTTAATATTAGTATTTGTGTCATTTGAGTTAAAAATTGTGTGCACAACCTGATCGATATTTACTTATAGAATGGCATAAATTCGCACGCTTCAGCGGGCACCCAGTGAAATATTTGCTAAAAATATAAGTATACATACAAACATACTTAGATACATAAGTATGAAAAAAGGTATGTACACTAGGGTGGTCCAAACAAAGTAATGTCGGAATTTTAACGCTCTCACCCCCTAAGATTGTTCTATGTTGAAAAAAATATATCCCTACTTTTTTATTTTGAAATCAACTAATATTTAGAGGTCGCTCAAAGTTTTCCATGTATTTTATATGGGGGAAAAAGAACTTTTCGTAGAAATGGTATGGAATTCTTGAAAGTGAATATTTTTCGATCGGAAAACTCTGGTAAATATTGTTTGATTTCAAAATAAAAATAGGGGTATATTTTTTCGGTATAGAATAATCCTAGGGGGTGAGAGCATACAAATTCTTAATTTTTTTTTATACATCTTAGGACCACCCTAATGTACATTAACAGGGGATAAAATAAAACATTTAAAGAATCGGTGCATATAAAACATCTACGCGGAACGTTCAATGTTTACTTGTCGTTCGGTTTTAGAGGAACGCAGAGCTTTGCATTTGTATTGAAACGTGTTCGAAGATGCAACGTTCGAGTGCCAGCCGGTTGTTGGCGCCGATTGTGGCTGCGCTTGCTTTGATGACTGTCGCATATTGCGATCTTACAAACGGTAATACACAATGCCAATTTTTAAAACACGATTTACATATTAATGATTTTTAATTACTATTTGATATATTTGAATTACAGCGCATGAAGTTGATAGTGAAAACGCGGCAGCGGTGGCAGTTGAAGCAGCCGTTTTAAGTCCAGTAGGACCACCGCGAGCCAAGCGCTCACCAGGAGGTGGTGGAGGTGGCGGTGGTCCCTATGGCCTGCCCGGTGAACCGGGTGGTAATGGATACGGCGGTGCCGGAGGCTATGGTGGTAATGGTGGTGGCGGAATTGGCGGTGGGGCTGGGCAGCCCGGTCAGCCAGGTGGCGGATCTTATGGGGGCGCTGGAGGTCTCGGCGGTGGTTATGGTCGTGGTGGCGGTGGCTACGGAGGAGGTAATGGCGGTTTTGGAGGGCCTGGTGGCGGTGGCTATGGTGGCTATGGCGGTGGACCCGGACAACCTGGACTGCCCGGTGGTTATGGTGGAGGCGGTGGTGGTGGCGGCGGAGGTGGCGGCTCTCCTGGATATCCTGGCCTTCCTGGCGGTTCTGGTTATGGTGGCTACGGTGGAGGTGGCGGCGGGGGACGTTAAAATCTCCGGTTGTATGTTTATTCTTAAGACAAATAAAGGAGAACTGATTATGTTATATTGTGTTTTTAATTTAAAATGGATCTGTTTATGGACTTCGGATATGTGCATATGTAAGAGTGAATATTCGCATAATTGTATGTACATAATTGTCTACTTATGTATGCCCTTCGTTTGTAATTTTGAAAACTTCAAGACACGTTCACTACTTGAAATTCGCACAGTGTCGTTGAGAGAAATCTCAGGCCCGGACTGAAAACTTATGGACCCCTTTAGATTCTTGTAATATGTAATTTAAAAGCAAGTGATCAATTGAGAGTTTTCCATGTAGAGTTTCTTTAATGTATAGAATCAGAAACAATCAGCACGAATCGAAATATATTTATGATAAAAGCCTATAACGACGGAGAAGTTTCTCGCGAAAATATCGAAATTTTTGTTTTCCTATAATGACCCTACAGTGAAACCCCAAACTAGTCAGGCAAAATACTAGTCACCAACTAGAATTTCCTGACTAAAACCGAACTAGTTCGAAAATGACCAGACTTGTACCAAGTACAAAACTATTTATTCATGCCCTGTTCTATTTGACTTCGACAGTTTAATACAATAGAGTACAAAAAATATTATAAATTTCATTTGGGTATATTGTAAACGTTAAAGCAAGTACGTACTCGCAATTATACCATACTTGTTAAATAATGATTAATATTCATAATGATTATTAATTAAATCATGTTCAATGATTAAATACCGATATTAGTACCTTTTTAACGATTTATAATTAATTACTTAAACAAATTTTTTTAATTAACTCGTTAATTTTAATTACATCATGTTATTTTTGATCATTTTCAATTATTTTGGACATTTTTTAATTACACAGTTAATATACAGTGAAAGCAGTCCTATAAGCGGACACATTCTTGGGAACGAACAATTTTTGTTTTTTTTTCTATACAAAATGCTCTCCCATACACGGACTTTCCGATAAACGGACGCGGACACTCAAAAATGTCCAACTATCCAACTATCCAACAATCCAACAATGTCCAACGGTCAACTATGTTTTCGAGTGCAACAGTATTCCCCAGAACTCCCCAAAGAGTTTTTCCGAGCTCTTTATTCGTGTCTAGTGACGATATTATTATTATAACGTCGAAGATACCCGCGCTGCGACCTAAGAAGATATATTGTGCTAAATCAAAATTGTAATCACTCCAACCTTAGGCTTTTTAAAAAGCTCAGCACTTTGCATAAGGCCATGTTGCAAATTTTAGATGGAGAAGGCAATCGTTCTCCAAGGTGTATCAATCTACGATTCACGCTTCGTGGACAGGCACATAGAATATACTCAGGGGTTTCTTTCACCAGCCGACAAACCCTACAGTCCGTCTCTACAGAAAGACCCATTTAATTAAAACTGTTCGTTAACTTGCAGTGTGCTGTCAGATTGCCAGTAAGAGTTCTAAGTTCAAGGTGTCTTTCGGAGTTCCTGCTGGAAGGAGTTATGCATATCTTTGATTGTCTCATTCCCTTTGACTTCCGCTAGTAGGCAGCAATTTTAGATTATTCCCAGTTAGCTCCTAGGTAGGTCTGCAGTGTATCCTTTAGATGTACCTCAGAAAGGCTAGGGACCATGCAAACGCATTTGGGCTTCACGCTTTGCGAGACAGTCAGCCCTTTCGTTGCCTTCAAACCCTTCATGCGTGACGCTATTGTGGGCTCGCAGGTGGTTCAAAAGTTTACAAGCCTTGATGCCGTTTTAAAAGACTCTAAGGCCTTTAACGCTGCCTGAGTGTCCGACATAATATTTATTCTGGCCTCATTTGCCTTCTAAGATGACATTCGCGAACACAGACTTCGATTGGGAAGACTTCCGCCTGAAATATGGTTGAGTACGAGCCCATTGGCAGACTTTTTTGGAATCTTGGTCCAAGTACGCCATAAATTATATCGCTACCTAAAGGTGAAAAGGTGCCTAGTCCATTTTTTTCGAAGTTTAGTTTTTGATGCAGAATGACAGGTAATGCGAAACTACATCGATTTTTCGTCTCTCCTGAAGAATTTCTAAAAATGGTGAACCGGTGAAATATTTGTGTAAAAAAAGGTTGCTAAAATATTTGGAGAGACGTACATATTTTATATTTTTCGCAAATAACTATTACCCATTGTCCCGAAACCTACCAAAATCCAATCAAGCCTACCAACCTACCAAATGGAAAAAAACTTACCACTTTTGGTAGGAAAAGCCCATAAATAACTATAGGGTTGGTCGAATGATGGTCTCCTAGTCACCAGTTGCGAGTCTTTTCGAAGACCGAGTATAAAGGAGCCAAGAAGATTACAGAAGATATATAATAAGGTAACCGACGAAGACTTGCGTGCCGCTTGCGCTTTTCTCTCAAAGTGTGTACCGCTGGTAAACCCAAATGAAGCTTAAAATTGAAAAACTTATTAATAAAATTTAAGTAAAATCTGTGGATAATTAACAATAAACTACTTTTTTTGCAAAATCTATAAAGGTCGCTTTTATTTTGCAAAAAAAACCTGTGCAACAGTTATTATTTTACACCCTGTGTATGATAAAATATTAATAGCTGGAAAAAGGAGTACAAAAGAAGTACAAAACTAAGAAAGGAGTACATTTCCAGATATTTTTTTTTGGGAGTACAAGGGAGTACATTGCAATAAAAAGGAGTACGTTTACTCCCAAAAGCAGTACGTCTGGCAACCCTACACCGGAGTTGGAGCTACAAGTCAGCAAGCTACAAGTAAAGTGAGCAGAGAAGTGAGTTGCGAATAAGCAAGCTATAAGTTTAATTGTGTTAACAAGTTTAGTAAAGCGTTGTTATTGCTTTAACGAGTATTATAAAGTGTTTTTACTGTATTAGTGAGTATTGTAAATTGTTTGTTTTACAATAAAGTTAATTGTGCTACAATCTGGTCATCGTTAGCATTTATTTAACAATCCAGCGAAACGAGCCGTAAGATATTTGGAAAATAGGATAATCGTAACAATACCGATCGAAAGCATAACGCCTATAGAATGTGTTAAACAGATGAGTGAAACATACTAGTATTATTACCTATTCATACCTGCCAACCCGATAGGTAGGCCAAGAAAAAAATAGACAACCCAACTTTTTCACATTCTATAGGCTTAATACTTTCGATTTTTATTCATTAAACATATTAATACAAAATTAAAAAAAATACAAATTTTTGAATATTTAATTAAAAATATCCTGGCCAGGATTTCAGCCAACCCACTCGCGAAATATTTATTACCACGTTAAATTTCATACAAAATAGATTTCATCCAATAAACAGATGTTTGAAAGTCGTGTCTTGGTCGGATCTTAGACTATTATATATTGGTACTTTACTTTAAGCATCTATCATCATACATAAATGCTCAGAATGAAAACAGAAATCGATGAAGCCGTGACTGTCTGTCCGCCCGTTCGTTCCTCTGTGAACACGATATCTCGAGTAAAAATTGAGGTATGTAGGGACACGAATTTCGATACGATACTATACCATATCGTTTTTTTTTTTGGCATTCGATACCGATATTTTCTACGCGATAGTTTTAAAAGGATTTTTTTTGGAATCCAGTACCAGAATCCTAGTATCGTATTGGAAATCATAAACTCACATTACAAGGATAATAAGGCCAGTTTCATGTCTAGACAATTGAGAAACTTTGCGCAGTGTTTTTCATGAGGAGAAATTTATATTTTGTGCTATTTCTGGCAATTAATTATTTGATAAGTTTTAATTTTACAATTTTAACAGAAATCTAAGTAAATATTTAAATCTTACTTTAGTCATTTCGCAAAACGTTGAGCACAAATCAAAATGAAAGTAAACAAAATAGTTGACTGAGTGTTGCACAGCACACTGCGCACGTTTGCGTTACAAAATTACCGCGGAAAGTGCCCTTTTTGACATTTCATTTGCGAAGGTTTCAAATTGTATAGTTTGCGAGGGCGTGGCGCTTTTAAATGTACCCCTAATGTTTTCAACAATTCTTCCCGATATAAATTGGGCTTTAAGGAGCAGAAACTTGAATTATAGTTAGGATTGCATGTGGTGGGATTTGAACCCGCGGCCTCGGTGTGTTAAGTCAACACCTCAATCTTTACGTCTTGTAATAATAATAATAGACCGGTGCTTACAAAATATGTTAGTGTGTGGCCGAGCTTCTCCTCCGATTTGTCGCGTGCACCTTAATGTTGTGGCACAAAGGGGGTCCGTACAGTTTTATATCGACTCTGAACCGGGATTGTATATTTATGGGAAGCTGTTTTTTATTTTCAAGGTTTGCGCACTTCTAACCACTACATCACAGCGGCCTATAAAGGAGACCTATAATCAGATCAATTTTTTGGATTTTGGTATCGATGTTTGGAATATCGAGTCGTTTTATTCCGATATTATCCCGATATTTTTAAAGCGATACTTTAAATTATTACCATATCGATACTTTCGGTTCGATATCGTTTCCCTAGGTAAATGTACTTCTTTTGAGCCAAGGACGGATTGTATTGAAAATAGGTAAAATCGGACAATAACCCCGATATTTTAGTAACTACTCAATCTTCCTCACTTAAAATAGATATTTATAATAACCTGTTGGCGGAAAAAATGAATATTATAAATTTTTGCAAAAGGTCCGTAGCTCTACCCCGTAACTGTTTTACCAATTTCTCCTAAACCCGTGTTGGCCGTGGTAAAACATACCAAACAGCTGAAAATTTTTAAAATCGGACAATAACCACGCCCGTGTCCCATACAATGGTAATTTAGAGAAATACGAAATTGATAAATCTATAAATACTGAAGCTTTAGCAGGAAATACCTTGATAATTGAAATGGAGGGTACACCGCCCACATACAGTAACGGTCATATCAATATAGGGATGTCAGTGGCAAAAATACATCGATGTTTTTCTTTGATGGTGATATCGATGTACATTTCGATGCATCGATAAAATATGTTATTAGCAAAATTGTACAAAATTTGAAATAAATTACTGCAGCTGGGCGAAT